GCTTTATTCTAGCTGTGCCTTATCACTTCCTGAACTCCTAACTTGTGGTTACCTGAATTTATCACCCCATACAGACAGAAAGAAACCTCCAGATATTTCTCCTTTGCTATCTATAACTTGCATCTGGGCTGGCATCCTTCCTTCAGATAAAGCAGATTTTCTTTGGCCAATAATTCATACCCATTACTGGAATAATCCCCTTTCAAGTGTTTTCTAATCCAAAATCCTACACACAAAGACCACAGTGTAAGGGATAAAGGATTACTAACACTTGACCAGGGAGCATTAAGTGGTTGGTACAGGCTGGCACGTGGCAGGGCTCTTGCGCCCTGTGGCAAGCTTGATTTTCATGACTTTCTACTCTGAACATGGTCACAGCCTCAGCTGATGCAGGAAGGGAGGCTGAGTCTGGTAACCCACTGAGGGGAGAGCTTCCCTTGGCTGATGGGGGAAGCTGCCAGAAAAATGTCCTACCTGGGCTGGAGGCCTTCCAGCATCCCCACACAGGGACAACCCCTTTTCCCAGGTGCAGAGAGAATGAACAGCCTGTGACCACTGTCTTTGGTTCTTAAAAGCAAGGCTCACCCAAATCTCTATGTTCCTTCTAAGAAATAATGTTTATCCACCTCTATAGAGGGAGGAGAACATACTACATTTGCAGTCCCCTTTGTTTGGAAACCATTGTCTCAACATACAAACACACACACACACACACACCCCATGTACACATAACACACAATACATTCACAACACATGCACATATACAGATGGGCACATATGCAACACAAATATACAGAAAACACACACAGCACACAATACTTACACAAGATACACACATACCTATCTATATATGCATACACATACACACATATACAACAAACACACAACACACATACATATACAAAACACAATACACACACACACACACAACTCACGCTTTATTAGCACACACTGGTTTCAAGTAAAGTAAGAGAAAATCATGACCAACATTACTTCTATTTCTTCCCCGAGCTAAACAGTAAACTATGTGGAATAATCTCCACTCTTTCACAGTCCCCAAACCTGTTACCCCATGCTCACATTGGACCTCCTGACAGGGGACCCACCTGACGCATGTCACCAGCCCTGCCTCCATACCTGCTTGGGCCTCTGCAGGAGTTCCTGAGCCACTGCTGTGGCAAAGATGGCTCTGTTGCTCCCTGGGCTGAGCTGCAGGGAGAGTGAAAGCCCCGTCACCAGCTGGACCCCGAGGTCTGTGATAGTCACCTTCTCATCCAGCACGGTAATGGTCTTTTCAGCCAGGATGGCATCTGACAGAGGTGACAGGATCTGGAGGGCAGAACCAACGCAGAAGGAGAGGTTTTTGGTGGCCCCAGCAATCATCTAATCACACAAACAATGCTGCATGCAGAGCAAGGACATGAGCCAGGGACAGCCTGTGAGCCAGGATGAACATGCATCCTTCTAAAACATGTTTTGCTTGTGAACATGGAATGTAGTTTTTACATAACAGAATTTCCCACCATACACTACCCTCATTCTGGATAGGAGGAATGAACATTTGCATTAATCTGTGGACTAACTTTGTGATTCTTTGACAGCACAGATCATCTCTTCTATTGTTTAGTACACATTTTGTTTAAAATTATTTACTTTAATTAAATGACTTTAAAAAAAAAACAACCTTCATTGCACGAAAGAACAATGAGCTTGATATACTAGTCAAATACTTATATATTTTTCTCTCACTCATGAAAATCAATGTGAAGGTGGAGCTTGCTAGCCCAGGTTCCATACTAAATCATGTTGTGTGCCACTGGGAGTCCGCGTACCAAGCTTTGGGAAATGCTGAGTTGTGATGCTCAGTTAATTTTGGAAAAACACCTTGCATCCTCTGATAAACATAGGTTTGGAGTCTCTATCTCTGGTGCCAAAATCCCAAAGTCTCATTTCTCATCCTGCCCTGCAGAGACCTGAGAAATGAGGCTTATGTCCAATTAAAACTCTGGACACGAAATCCTGCTTTTAAAGTACATTTGTGGAATGACTTTTCTCTCCCCTTACCCCTTACACAAATTATGAAGAGCTGGCTTAGGCTGTTTGCAATGGATGAAATGGGTTTCATGTTCCATCTGCTTTCTTGATCTCTGACTTTTTTTCAAGGTTTTGGTGATATTTATGAGGATGTATGTCAAAAATAAGCTTTTCCCATGGCTCCTGAAGCCCAGAAATCAAAGCTCAATATTTCTATCCAAATACCATCTTTAGTTTCTGGTTCTCATTATGACAATACAAATGGAAGTGAGCCTGAGATATGAGTCCCCAGAATCAAGTGGGCCGGTGAATTGATAACTTAGGAGGACACAGTGGGAACAAATAAAAGGGGAGAACTAAGTGTCTCAGGAGTCAATGACCCACCAGGACAGCTTCCACCATTAATGCATAGGAAGCCTGCCTGTTTCCTCCTTCATATTATCTGATCTCTGAACTCTATGTTATTTCCTCTTTGCACTTAAATGATCACTTGGAATGAGTGGTTAATTCCAGATTCTCCTTTTCTTCCCAGTTTCCAGGTGTCATCATTAGTATAGCCTATGAATTTATTGCAGGAACTCAGGTCTTTCAACTTCTTAGTCAATAGTGGACATTGCAATCTATAAGGCAGGTATATTTTGTTTGATATATATATATATATATTACTTTAAAATAGAATTAATGGTCATCAAAACCAGAAGATTTTACTTAAAAAGATAGGTTTTCTCTCTCCTGGAAAAGTTGTAACATCTGGCCACACTGGTCTTGCATTTCTTCTTGGCACCTTTTGGGTACGAGTAGCAGCCTGTGCCTGCACCACAGTCCTCACCACTCCTTATTATCTTCCTAATACTCAGAGCAAAATCGGCCAACATTGGGCCAGCCTGTGGCTCACTTGGGAGAGTATGGTGCTGATAACACCAAGGCCAAGAGTTCCGATCCCTATATAGGGATGGCCGGTTTACTCACTTGGGAGAGCGTGGTGCTAACAACACCAAGTCGAGGGTTAAGATCCCTTACCAGTCATTAAAAAAAAAAAAAATCAGCCAACATCTTTCAGCTCACATTCAATCTGCTCCCTTCCCTGATGGTGCCTTCTCAGCTTTTTTTTTTTTTTTTTGGTGCATATTTGTGGGGTGGAGTGTGTTGTTTCAAGACATGAATATTCATACATTGATTCAGTCAGGGTCGACAGCATAGCTATTCTTTCTATCTAACATATTGATTATACATATTTGTGGAGTACAAAGTTGAATATCAATACAAGTATACAATGTGTGATGATCAAATCAGGGTAATTAGTATATTCACCATTACAAAACCTAGTCATTTCTTTGTGATGATGAGGACATTCAACGTCCTCTCTTCTAGCAGATAGCACAACTTTGCACTTGTTACCTTCTCAGTCTTTAGAGATCATTTGTGCGTGTGACTACTAGTCTATAGCCCAAACCCATTTGTTTTTCTCTTTGAATAAAATGATCTCTTTTAAATACCAGCCAAGTTTCCAGAATAGGTATGTTTTAAATCTTCCCTAATCCAGTATAGTTTCAGCTATAAGAATTCCTCATGCACAGCTGTTTTGGAAACCTCACAGATGGCCTGATAAGATGATCACCTCTCTTCCGCATGGGGCAGTTATTGAGGAATAAATTCTCCCTTTGTTCTCAGGGTGGAGATAAATGACCAAGCCCACATTAAGCTCCCAGAGCAGCGTTTTGTGAAAGTGTTTGTTTCAAACACCCCAGTGTTGCTCGCTGCTCCGCTCCATTCCCTGGGCCCCAGGAGTAGTGTCCAGCAGACCAACGGAGTCATAATAACTTTTTTCCTTGTTTATGCACATTTCTGAGATGCTCATGTTCTCATCAGGCCTGAGGTTGCATCTTGGTTAAAAGCAGCAACAATATCACGGTGGGATGGAAAGTTTTTAGGAGGAGTGGCCAGGCAAGAAGAGCTTGCTGGCTATGCCCATGATTCAAGTTAGCTCACCTTTAGAGCTTATTTCCCAAGACAGTAACACCTACCATGGCTCGGGGGAAAATAATGGGCTGGTGTTTTAAATAGGACCAACCAGAGAAGTCAGTACAGCGTTTCTCAAGTGTAAGTCATATGTGAAGGATTTTAAGATTTTTGTTGCATCATTATACCACTTATATTGATTACTTGATAATTTCTTAAAACTTAATCACTCTAAAAATAGATAACATTTTAAGCTGTGACAGATAACTGAATTTTCATCTGGGCAGAGCAGAGACAGGAAGATAGAAAGTTCTTGCCTTTGGGTATTTCTTACCTGAATGGTGGTCATCCCAAGCTCCTGTCCGATCAGGATCTGCCCCCCTTGCAACTTGGCGATCCTGGGCTCCTCCACCTGCATGAAGTCATTGATCAGCTCCGTGATGTCCACTTGCCAGTCTGAGCCCAAGAGGTGGGCCAAGTGTGCCCCAGGGCCAGCCGCCTCAGCCACAAACTGGGTCAAGACCCGCACCATGGCGTGCTGGTACTGCAGGGTGCAGCCCCGGCCCCTCCTCTCATCGTCCTCCTCTTCCTCGCTGTCCCGGGCTGGTCTGTCAAAGAGTCAGTTCAGGTTAGCAGATACTTATTTGTTGGACCGACTGTTTGGGGCTGTGAGTGACGCCCAGCGGGGGCTGCAAAGCTGAGTGAGTCTGGTTTACAGCTCAGACAAACACTCAGAGGTGACATCCAGAGCATTTAACCACTGGTATGGCATGAGTACTTGTCCATCAGAATGGACTGGGGTGGCATGCAGAGTTTAAGATGTTCCCAAAGATCCCCCACCTCCTGGTGTTTACTCAGTATAATCCTCTCCCCTTTAGTGTGGCTGGACCTAGTGTCTTTCTTCCAATGTAAAGATGATAGCAAAAGTTATCGAATGGTCACTTTCAGGGTTAGATTTTAAAAGACTGTGACTTCTGCCTTGCTGTGTTCTCTTTCCTTGGTCTTTCTCACCCGCTTGCTCTGATGAAGCCAGATGCCCTGTTGTGAGGTGCCCTGTGGTGACATCCACCTGGCTATAAATGGAGAGAGTGGCCTCTGGCCAACAGCCTCTGAGAAATGGAGACCTGCCAGCAACCACAGGAGTGAGCTTGGGTATAGGTCCCACCCCCCATGAGCCTTGAGAGGAGACCCCAGCCCCACTTCCAATTGTGTTGCAGCTTGTCAGAGACCCAGCCCAGAGGACCCAGCTAAGCCACACCTGGATTCCTGGTCCATAGAAACTGTGAGATAATACAAGTTGTTCTTTTAAGCCACACTAAGTATTAGGATAATTTTTGAACCACTGAGTTTGGGGATAGGCCACTAAATTATGTACAGCAATAGATAACTAATATGATATGGCTACGGATGGATGGCATAGCCCTATAAACAGCACACAAAGGAGGTGGGTCTCTAACCCACAGTAAGGTAAAATGGGATAAGAAAGGTAGAAAGTGCCAGGACGGTGTGGAGGAGAACGGTTCTGTCCTAGTCTCCATTGGAACAATAGCTGCTCACCTCTCAGACTGGCTCTGTTCTTGGATCTGAACCAAACAGCTGTGACAGCATCTGGGAGGTGCCATGATCAGACCTGACCAGCTCCTTGGTAAGCTTTTCCCTACAGTTTCTCCCCTCTGCAGGAACAAATGTTGCTCCTTAACCCACCCTCCCAGCTCAACACCGGACACCCCAGTGATTAAGACAAGAATTACTGCTGAAACTATCTTTCAATTGTACAGGGGACCCACAGCCTTCATCCTTGAAGCACTGCCTCTCTCAGGGGTCACAAGGACTAAAGGAGGAGACTTCTGTGAGTGTGGTCAATATCCAGATGGAGCCACTTGTGCCAAACCCAAACAAATTAGTGTCAGGAGGCTGAGAAGGAGGGCCCTTGTGCACAATTGCCCATGGTAAGGACTATTACAAAGACTGTGAAGGGCTCGTATGCACATATGAGCATGCCTGTAATAAGTTTTGCCAAGGACTTTCCAAACTGCAGCTTGCTACACAAGTTACAAGAACAGGTAGCTGGATGCACAAGAACACTTGCCCAAAACACTATCCTAATGAATTAATGTCAACCCCTGCAACAAGCCCCTGTAACCAATGTTCACTTTGTTTCAAAACACCTTGTGGGTACTCTGCATTTCATCTTTAAAAATCACCATCCTTTGCTTCCCTGGATATTCCTGTAATCTATCATAGCCTTCATTTCCCAGATTTGCAAATTCCCCACTCATTCATGATTAAACTCAATATTTTTAGAGAGCTTCTCTCTGTTTGTTATTTAGGTTGACACGAGGGAAGGAATAGAACAATTATCTCTCAGATAAGTACCCATTCTATGCCCCCTGCTGAGTACACAGACTCCAGGAATATTTCCTTGTCTAATTCTGCATATGCTTACTTTGGTATTCCACATGTCTTTAAGGGAGGAATCCTCATTCTTGGGTTTCTTTGAGATGACAATATCTATGGAGAGCCTGAGATTCTAGAACTCTCCTTACATGGTAATCACTGGGTTTCCTGAAGGTGGATGATGAAAACTCCATAACTCTATCAAATATAATCAGAGAAATGGACCAGGAACACAGTTGACAAGCTTTAGACCTCATTTCAATAAGGTGAAGGGAGCTCAGAGCTGCTGGGTTGGGGACATGGAGAAGCAGCTCAGGTCAGGCAGGATCTGTTCAGATGTATCTCCAGTGGACATCTGTTGTTTAATCCTTTGCAGTATCAATCCTCCCTTCTCCTGCTATTGATCCATTGATTCAGGCAGGGTTGAACTCCTTCTCTAGCTCCTCTGGCTCCAGCTCTGGGAGATTGTGGCTGAAGCCTAGCTAGCCACTCAGTGTATTCTATCCACTTGCCTGCAGTAACTAGATCAAGGATGGACATACAACCCAAGTGAAGATCAGGCTTAAATCCGAGACATTTATTGGGAAAAGTGGGATAGAGAGTATGCAATTTCTGCTGGAGTTGCAGAGAAGATAGGATGGAAGTCTGAAACCTCATGAGAAAAGCTTGATAGAGGATAAAGCCATCACAGAGAAAATCAGAGCTGACAGATGTAGAGAGACTCAGTCCTTAAGGTATCATGAGAATCCCCGGATCCAGTCATGTCCGAAATTAACCACCCTGCACATTTCCTTCTTAGCCTAAACACATTTGATGTGGGTTTCTGTCATGGAGTCTGATGAACACACCTACCTTTTGTTGGTGATGATAGGCACTCTCCAGCCCTTGATCTGGTTGAGCTCAGCATCTGAGACCTCAATCTGCAGTGGGAGCCGGGGCACCCATACCGTCATCTCCAGAGGACTGTTCAGGTGCTGGTAGGTGAAGTTGACCACCACATTAACCTTGCCTTTCATTTCTTTCCCATTGACAAAGACATAGTCACATCTGTCAGAAACCTGTGGAGAGGGGAAAAAGAAATGGGGAGGCAGGTGAGTTTTCATCTTATTTTAAGGATAGCATGAGGAAGAGGGATGGAAAGTACCATGGCTATTTTAGGGTAACTACTGTGAAGTGTAAATCCTAGTGTAGAGAGATATTGGTTGTTGCTTTTCAGTATAGATGATGCTGTTATGATAGATGCCATCGGAGCAACGTTGCCTGGGGTCCGCTTACCTGGTTTGGTAGACTCACCCCCCAAGTGCTGCAGGTGTGCTGCCAACAACTTATGCTGCATCTTCTCTAGAAGACCACCTTTAGGTGAGAGGAGCTGTCTCCCTCAGAGTTACCTGGGAGTTATATACCGCCCATTGCACCTCTCCACCTAGTGACTAACTGGTGGGGTACAAAAGCCAACCTCTGCCTCAATGAGAAGCAAACTGTGTGGTATAGTTTGTCATCCAGATCTTCTCATGGGACCTGGCTACGCTGCACCTGAAACCTCCTGGGATCCTGTGTAGTTCTCTCTTTTCCCCACCCTGATTTCTTTACCCCTGTACAGGTGTATCCTGAGAACTTCCTCAATCAATTATGTGCAGCCCACTTTCCCTCTCGGTTGTGGGGTGGATTCTGAAATGCACTCTGCAGGGATCCTTTGAGGGTCTCCGTGGGATTTCTCCAACATTGCTCTTCAAGCCAACTAGCTCCATCAATGTCTCCTAGTGGTCTCTCTTCCTTCCATGAGTCCTGTCTTCTGCCCACCTCACTCTGCATCCAGGGAATGCCCCCCAAATAAAACCCTGCTCTTAAGGGCATGTCTCAGGCTCTGCTTTCCAGAGACTCCAAACATGTGAACTCATTTCATCCTTGAAACAACCACAATTCCAGGCACTCCTGTTTGTCCCACATTCCAGAAGAGGAAACTGAGAGTGAAGGAGCCTGCCTACGGTCCTCTGCCACTCAGCCCTAGGAGGATGGCTCCAGAACCCACGTCCTCAAATACTGCCCATACACAGGATGCTTCTTTCCACCAATATTCACGAGAAGAACCAACCTTGTCCTTCCTTTGTCTTCCAGCTTTCCAGGGAAGAACTATGCATCCTTTAGATTTTTTCCCAAACAAGAGTTGGGGTAAGTCCTTGCAAGGGGTGGGACATGGTAGGCTGAATAATGGCCCCTAAAGATTCACATCCTAATCCCTGAAACCTGTACATGTTAACTTATTTGTCAAAAGGAATTTGTAGATGTGGCTAAAGTAAAGATACCTCCCACCAGCTTTATTGGCAAATAAGTAATTGATGAATAAAATTGAAAATATTTAAGGTGTACAACATGACGTTTTGGTATGCATGTATATTGTGAAATGATTATTGCAATCACGTTAGTTCCAATATCCGCCACCTCCCATAGTCATGTGTGTGTGCATGTGTGGTGAGAAGATTTAAGATCTACTCTCTTAGAAAATTTCAAGTGTATGATACATTGTTATTAAATATAGTTATGCTGTGTATTATATCCTGGAAAGGTATTTAACCTATATAACTGAAACTTTGTGTCCTTTGACCAATATCTCTCCATTTCCCCTACCACCAGCCCCTGGCAGCCACCATTCTACTCTCTGTTTTTATGAGTTTGCTTTTTCTAGATTCCACATGTAAGTGAGATCATGCGGTATTTGTCTTTCTGTGCCTGGCTTATTTCACATTGCATAATGTCCTCCAAGTTCATCCATGTCATCACAAATGGCAGGATTTCCCTTTTGTTAAAGGATGAATAGTATTCCACTGTGAACATATACCACATTTTCTTTATCCATTCATCCATTGATGGACACCTAATTTGTTTCTATGTCTTGACTATTGTAAATAATTAAATTAAACATCCTGAGATGAGGAGACTATTTTAGATAATTTGAGCGGGCCCCAAATGTAATGCCACTGTCCTTAGAAGAGGGAGGCAGAAGGAGATTTAACTATGGCTGCAGAAGGAGGCGCTGTGACCACAGAAACAGCTCTGCTGCCAGCTTTGAAGAAGGGCTGATGTAGGAGGGAAGGCGGCTCTGGAAGCTGGGAAATGCAGGGATGCGGATTCTCTCCTGTAGCCTTCGGAGAGAGTGCAGCCTGCCAACAGCGAACCTGATTTCAGACTCTGGCCTTCAGAACGATGGGAGAATGGATGAGTGTTTATTGTTTTACAAAGCCACTGAGTTTGTGGTAGTTTTTTTTTATAGCAGCCAGAGGAAACTTATCCAGAGAGGAGAGGAGCATGAACTGCAGAGCCACGAGAGTGTCCTCCTGCCACGGGCATCGCTGGTTAAGCTTGGAGCTGGGATGGGAGGAGCCAGGAGCCCCCATTTATTGAGGACCTAATAGACGCCAGGGTTGGCAGCTGAACATGTTGCAAGTATCATCCCATCCAGCGCTCATAGCAGCCCCGGGAGGCAGGCACTATTGTCATCCTCTTTTCACCATGGTGAACCTGAGGCCCGGAGATATTGTAACTTTTCCAAGGACATGAAGCTGGAAAGTGGCAAAGACTGAATTCAGCCCCAGTGGGCATCCTGCTGCCTTCCTCTCCACGGCAGGTGGGTCCTTCCTGCCTGACAGCTCTCCTGCAGTCTGTCTTTGTAAATGGATGAAAACTTCCCTTTAGTGCTTGAAGGGGTATGAAGAAAAGCAAAGCAGAAATTACTACATTGCTCAAACATCATAAAATGCATTTCCGATGCAGGTCCCTTTCGTCTTCACACTGGGGCACACAGAGATGAAATGCACAGGAGGGGTTGTTGCGAGGCGCGACCTCGGCTGAGGGTGATCGATAACTCTCAGTAGAAATGTGGGCCCAGATCCATTTATGAGTTGCCAATAGCCAAAGAACTTAAATCTGATTGAAAGTCGAATGGAACAAGCTCCAGAGGTTTTATTATACTTTGTGGCCTGGCCACTGCTCTCCCTGCTTCAGGGGCCAGGAAGTCTTTAATCTGAGGCTTTCTGAACCTTTCCCCCTTTCAAGTCTTCTATTTCTAGCTCAGGCTGAATTGCCAAGACAATCAGGCTTCTTGAGCAAAAGAAAGAGAGAGAACAGGAAGAGAGATGGGGGATAGAGAGAGAGAAAAACAGAGGAAAAAAGAGAGAAAGAAGGAAACAGACAGAGATAAAGAGAAGGAAGGTAGGGAGGAAGGAAGGACGGGAGGGAGGGAGGGAGGAAGAAAGAAAATATTGAAACGAATGACTGATAAGGCTCATTTTCAGAGAAACAAGCTCTTTCATGAATTTAACTCTGGGCCATCTTGCCAAACCAGGTGTTCTAAGAAAAGCAGCCGGGTGCTCCCTTTGGGAAAGCTGGCCACCAACATGCTCCTCCCCACTGAGTGAAGTGGATGCCTGGCTGTACTAGGTATAGCTGTGAGTGTAAAACTCAGACTTTTTAAAAAAACTGAATGTTTATTCTTTGAGGTAATAAGAAAAAGTGGGAAGTAGACATTGATAAAATTGAGGCAGTCTGTGCCCAGGACTCCGAACTGCAGTACTGGATCTGTGGTGCAGGGCAGGGTGTGTGTGTGTGTGTGTGTGTGTGTGTGTGTGTGGTGCTGGTTAGGTCAGGTAATAAAGACAAGCAATATATTCAGGTGGAGGGTTTGTAAATCTCTACATCGCAATCCTCCAGGTGCCCGTGCATGGCTGTCAGCTGCAACCTGTGTACCGAGACAGTCAGCAGAACTGTTTGCTGATGAGTTCTGGTTCTTCTTCAGGCCCATGTTAGGCTGGTCCTTCTAGTTCATTTGTTGTTGGGTGAGGATGTGACCATGTGGGCCACTGTGATGTGAACAGGAGAGACAGATGTCATCTCCTTGCTGGAACATTTAATTTTCGACGACGGACTGCCCAGAGTTCACCTTTCCTTGAACGTGGTGCCTGTCAGTGTTTGAGGTAGTGGCCGCTCATCAGCCTGGGGTCTAAGTGTCTGTGATAGACAGAGCCTCCAGCAAAGCCACTGTGGACAGGGAGTACAGATATATGAGTGTACCTCAAAACGTTCATGGGAAGATTCGTATTATCTTTTAATTCTGTTTTTTCCACAAACAATTTAAAGTACTCTTTTACACCCTTCTTATTTTAAGTCACTGAGATTTTGGGTTATTCAATACTTCACTTACACTGAGCTTATCCTGACTGCTGCAACGTGCATGGAACACATTCTGATCGCTGTGTTAATAAAAACAATGCGCCAAATTAATGGATTTGATAGGCGAGGTCTGGGTGAATAAGATGGATGAAGACAGGTAAGATAATGAGGAGGTGGCTATGAAGATTCTAATTTTTGCAAATACAAAATGAGCCAAGAATGTAATTGGGGTCTGTCCTGTGGGGCAGAGGCCTCTGTTACAATCGGGCTGCACACGCATCACTCCTGAACATCCAAGTTATGAGATGTCCCCCTCCTAATGTTAATGGCTTTCCAATGATTAAATTTATATGCCAGAGAAGTAAATAAAAATCAGGGAGGACTGACACAGCCTCACAAGATTCACCTTGGAGGAGGGTTTGGGAGAAGCTGGGGGAGGATTTGAGCAGAATACAAACATCGAGGTCTCATGGGGGAAAAACTTTGGTGGTAAATAAAAGGGGTTTTATTGAGCATATGTGCTTGCCAGTTTTTGGACATGACACACACTCATGACACACACTCACGTGCTTTTTAAAATTTAACTTTAAATTAAAAAAGTTAAAAAAATACATTCTATTGGGTATATTTGAGATATACAACAAAATGTTATGAGATACATATAGATACTAAAAAGGTTACTGCAGTGAAGCAAATTAACATATCCATCATCTCACAGTTACTCATTTCATGCATGTGTGTGTGTGGCAAGAGCAGCTAAATTACTCAGCATGAATCCTGTGGATGGTACAGTTCTATTGCCTCCAGTCCTCACTTTGCACATTAGATCTCTAGATTTGTTCACGGTGTGTATCTGCTACTTTGTATCCTCTGACATGCATCTTTTCCCACG